TGACTTCTACAGAAGTCTACCAGGTCCTCTCTGCAAAGAGCTTTCATAACATCTTGTGCGTCTCCAGACTTCACTGAGTCATGAGACCATCACTCGTTCAAGAAGTCCTGGCCGGCAGTCTGCTCTTGCTTATCAAATGTTTTGTTCACAGGTAGTGCAAAAGAACCATGTAAACAAGATGGCAGACCATTGGATGCACTCAGAGAAAGTGGTGTTTAGGAGGACTGTTAGCACATCTACGGTGCACCGACTGCAGGTCACAGTCACCAACCATCCAAGCAAGCCTATGAGGCCACTTCGTCATTCTGTCTATACCTAAAATAAGAACAGCAACACACACAATCACTAACATGTGCCGAATGCTTGCCATGTGCTGGAGGTGTGCTAAGTGATTGACATGTTGTTGTTGTTGTGAGGTGCCATCGAGTCAGTTCCGACTCATAGTGACCCTAGGTACAACAGAACGAAACACTGCCTGGTCCTGCGCCATCCTCACAATTGTTGTTATGCTCAAACCCATACTTGCAGCCCCTGTGTCAATCCATCTCATTGAGGGTCTTCATCTTTTTCACTGAGCCTCTACTTTACCAAGCATGATGTCCTTCTCCAGGGGCTGATCCCTCCTGAGAACATGTCCAAAGTATGTGAGACGTAGTCTCACCATCCTTGCTTCTAAGGAGCATTCTAGAAGTGATCGACATGCACTATGTCATTTAAGATTCACAAAGATCCTTTAAGAAACATGCTACGATTCTGCCCATTTTCCAGATTAAGAAGCTTAGGGCCAAAGAGTTACTAGCCCAAAATCACTAGCAAGTAAACAGTCAAAGTAAGATTCCAACCCACTCTCCTATAAGTACACTGCCATATAAAACATCAAAAAAATAAAATAGAACAAACCTACTGGCGTCAAGTCCATTCCGACTCACAGCGACCCTACAGGACAGAGTAGAACTGCCCCATATGATTTCCAAGGAGCTGCTGGTGGATTCGAACTGCAGACCTTTTGGTTAGCAGCCAAGCTCCTAACCGCTGTGCCACCAGGGCTCCAAACTGCCATATAGCAGTGTTTATTTTGGACACGTCATCAGGAAAGGCCAACCACTAGAAAAGAACGTCATGGATGGTAAAGTAGAGGGTCAGCAAAAACTAGGGAAACTCTCAATGAGATGGATTGGCTCAATAGCCACAACAATAGACTCAAACATACCAACGATCACGAATATGGCACAGGACTGAGCAATGTTTTGTTCTGTTATACGTAAGGTCACTATGAGTTGGAGCCAACTCAACAGCAGCTAACAACAACCACTCCTTCACTGTGATATTCAAGTGAAGTTCCATATTTACTTGTGTGATTGTTAGATGAAGATCTGGTTTTAAAACAAGCTCCAAACTCAGGTGCCAGGGTCCTTTGGTGTCACTGTCCTCGCTCACCATTGTAGCACCCGGGCCTACAGAACGAGTGTGCAATGCGACATATGATGATTGAATGCCCAAACGAAAAAGTGAACGTCTTAAATGTGCCCAGAGTACACTCTCAGACTGTCAGAAGGCTGACAGGTCTGCCCATAATCTGAGTAAGCAGGTTTCATTAATTTACTTGAAAAATACTAATTATGATTGATCCAAGACTGTTCAGTTTTCCAAACAAGTCTTTTAAGGCATCACATACAATGACAACAAATGAATGGATAAACAAAATACGGTACATACATGTTGTTATTGTTAGGTGCCCTCAAGTCAGAACTGACTCATAGTGACTCTATGACAAAAGAACGAAACACTGCCCCGTCCTGCGCCATCCTCGCAATCCTTGCTATGCTTGAGCCCATCGTTACAGCCACTGTGTCAATCCATCTTACTGAGGATCTTCCTCTCTTTTGTTGACCTTCTACTGTTCCAAGCATGGTGTCCTTCTCCAGGAACTGGTTGCTCCTGATAACATGTCCAAAATATGTGGGACCAAGTCTTGCCATCCTACCTTCTAAGGAGCAATCTGGCTGTACTTCTTCCAAGACAGATTTGTTAGTTCTTCTGGCAGTCCATGATATAGTCAATATTCTTCACCAACAACATAATTCACAGGCAACAATTCTTCATTCCTTCTTATTTATCATCCAGCTTTTGCAGGCATATGAGACAATTGAAAATACCATGGTTTGGGTCAGGCACACCTTAGTCTTCAAGGTGATATCTTTGCTTTTTAACACTTTAAGTCTTTTGCAAATTTGCCCAATGCAATATGTAGTTTAATTTCCTGACTGCTGCTTCCATGGGTGTTGATTGTGGAACCAAGTAAAATGAAATCCTTGACAATTTCAATCTTTTCTCCATTTATCATGATGTTGCTTATTGGTCCAGTTGTGAAGATTTTTGTTTTCTTTATGTTGAGGTGTAATCTGTATTGAAGGTTGTGATCTTTGATCTTCATCAGTAAGTGCTTCAAGTTCTCTTTGCTTTCAGCAAGCAAGATTGTGTCATCTGCATATCACAGGTTGTTGATGAGTCTTCCTCCAATCCTGATGCCACTTTCTTCTTCATATAGTCCAGTTTCTCAGATTATTTGCTCAGCATACAGATTGAATAACTATGGTGAAAAGATACACCCCTGATGCACACTTTTCTTGATTTTAAACCACACAGTATCCCGTTGTTCTGTTCGATAACTGCCTCTTGGTTTATGTACAGGTTTTCATGAGCACAATTAAGTGTTCTGGAATTCCCATTCTTCCCAATGGTATCCATAATTTGTTATGAGCCATACAGTTGAATGCCTTTGCATAGTCAATAAAACACAGGTAAACATCTTTCTGGAATTCTCTGCTTTCAGCTAAGATCCAATTGACATCAGCAATGATATTCCTCATTCCACGTCCTCTTCTGAATCTGTCTTAAATTTCTGGCGGTTTCCTATTGATGTACTGCTGAAACTGCTTTTGAATGATCTTCAGCAAAATTTTACTTGTGTGTGATATTAATGACATTGTTTGATAATTTCCACATTCTGCTGGATCACCTTTCTTTAGAACGGGCACAAATATGGATCTCTTCCAGTCTGTTGGCCAGGTAGCTGTCTTCCAAATTTCTTGGCATAGACATACATACAATAGAACATTACTCAGCAACAGAGAGAAATGAAGTCCAGATACATGCCATAACAAAGACGAACCTTGAAAACACCACACTGAGTGAAATGAGTCAGTCACAAAAGGACAAATACTGTATGTTCCCACTTACGTGAAATACATAGAATAGGCAAGTGTATAGAGAACAAAGTTTATTGTGATTGGTTACCGGGGGTGGCCAGGAGGGAGGGGAAAAGGGAGACTCATTGTTTTCCGTACAAGACGCTGAGTTTCTGTCAAGGGTGATGGAAAATGTGGAAAACGGTAACAGTGTTGGTTGAACCACATGACGAACATAATTAACGGCACTGAATTGTACATGTGAAGAATGTTGAAACGCTAGATGTTTTGTTGCATATATACTTACCACAATTTTAAAAAGTTTTAAAATAAAAACAATAATAATAAAAAAAAACAAGAATTTAGGAAATTGAAGATGAGCTGAGAGGGTGTGATAGAGGTGGCTTGCAAATGAAGATCCATAAGCAAAGGAGATGGAGCAGCTCTAATGTTGTCCTGGGACAGATTGGGAGTCACGGGGAAAATGGAGTTCCACTCACACCAGTGTTTCTGGGCCATCTCTCGCCAGCGGAGGTGTCTGTGCCCCGCATCACTGAACACAGCCTGCTACAGGAAGACGGAAGGAAAGAAGGCCTGTGTGATACTCCCTAGTGTCTGTGTCTCCATGGAGGCTCAATCAGCATGGTAGTATTTTGTTCTTATTTCACTTCCAAACGTTTCAACAAACCAAAAATATTAACACACACTGCACTGCATCATTTAATCATCAGAGTGTGTGTGTAGTGCTAGGACATTTGTAGGGTTGGGGCAGATGTTTAGAGGGTAGAAAGGAAAAGCTTCTTAAGTAATTATTTTTGCTCAAAACCCTCCCTTGCACCTGGTTTCAGGGCTTCTCTTGGTCTTATGAAACGCTCCCATGTGAGGATAAAATGAGTTTTTACAAACAACTCTCGGGCTCTCCTGCAGCATTTGGATACAAAATGGAATTGAATACGGGGTGACTCTGAACTGCCTTAAAATCACTGAGGCCCAGCGAGCTGTTTGCTGAGGCAATTTCCTTTCACTGACACAGAATTACATTGTATAAGATGTTTACTGAAGCCATGTCATGCCTGTGACACCTCTGGATCTCAAGACACCTCAATATCCACACATGCTGCGTTTAGCCGGCAAACTGAGATGCCAAATTTAAAATGAGAATTCTTGTTGTTCTTTTTTTCTTCCCCCTTCCCTTCATGTGGTGCAAACAGTTAACACTCTCAGCTGCTAACGGAAAGGTTGGAAGTTTCAGTCCACCCAGAGGCATCTTGGAAGAAAGGCCTGGCGATCTACTTTTGAAAAATTGGCCACTGGAAACCCTATGGAGCAGAGTTCAACTCTGACACACATGGGAAGCCATGAGTTGGGGTCGACTGGATGACAACTAAACTTCATGTTCACACAAGACATTAGGGATGCTTCACTGACTTGTTTCAAGATGATTAGGAGGCCAGGAAGCTCCCAGAAGGAGAAGAGAATGGACGCGGCAGCCGCAAGAAATATGTTGAGTCAGCCCCCAGCTCATGGCGACCCCATATGTTACAAAGTACAACTGCTCCACAGGCTTTTCTTGACTGTAATCTTCACGGAATCAGTTTGCCAGGCCTTTCTTCCGGGGAGCTGCTGAGTGTGTTCAAATCACCAACCTTTAGGTTAGCAGCTAATCACCACCAAGGGACTAAGAGATGTACTCCCTGGAATATTGAAAACGTAAACACAGAGGGATTTTTTTTTTTTTTTTCCTTTGGAAAATGAAATGAAATCCAAAACATCTTACAGCATGTGAAAAGAAGGAGCAAGACAGGTGCATCCTTGACTTGATAACATTTATTCAGTATTCTTTGAAATCAGGAAGAATCGGGAGAAGCAGGTATCAATCAGATACAACCACAGAAAATGTCGTGGATATAAATAAAGAAGCACTATGAGAAATACACACTACTGAGGGGACTGGTCCTCTCTCACACTTACTACCTCTTAGCAACGAACAACTCAAACACAAATTTAATTTACTCACGATAGAAAAATCTTGACCTGTTAAAGAAAAATATAGATTCAACTCGATCATAATTTGCCTCACTAGGCCCTTTCACGGTGTATTTTTTCAAGGCCAAGTTTGACGACCATTACGAAACATGACAAAAAAAAAACAAACTCAAAGGTTTCCACAAGGTTCAACAAAACAGTGCAGAAATAAATTACTTACTCATGCACAGAATTAGGCAAACGCTAATTTCATGAGGGTTAGGAATAATAAATTTAACTAGCTTCTTTTTTTTTTTCCACAAAAACGAACATTTCAGACTTCTTTGTAAGTAACAGGTATACTGTATTAAGCATCGTACTCTACAAGTTTTTCCTAACTCTACTCAGAAAGCCGGCACTCACATGTCAAACAGAGACTTCTCCTGGATTCGATTTACTCCTTTAACAACCACAGACGTTACTCTGGGTTTCCTGCATGGTGTCTCCCACGGAAAGAGCACACACTATTTATTAGAAGCATACAATTCAGAGAGCTGAAAGAACGTGAAAACACAGTCTACGGATTTCACAAATTCAGTTTTTAAAATAAATTTTTCCCCCCAAACTAAAAGCTGCAGAAAATTAGTTCTTAAATATTCTACCGAAAACTCTTGAGCGCCTAACGCTTTGAATGTCTTAAGCTTTTTATTTTCTTAAAAATATTTAGATGAGTGAAGTATCGCATCTTTTTGAAAAATAATCCCCCAAAAAGATTACAAATCTTTTGTTTTAATCAGTGTGACCAACGGCTTGTCATCGGGACTGTAATCCTCATAGGCAATGGGGGTCACGTCGTACATCGCCGGCCGAGATTTCTTTCCAAACCTGCAATCACAGACAGAGAGAACTTTGGTTAGAGACAAATCGGGCCTCAGGTCCTATTTAAGGCAAGTGGTGAAAATCACTTTATTCAAGAATCCAATGGAACTATAAAAATACTCTAAGAATATATTCTCTAGCAAGTACCAAAATTTAAGACACTCTGAGATTAACATTGAAAGAGTATAAATATTAGTATTCGGTGCAGCAGGGAATAAAAAACGGATTTCGCCAAGCACAAAGCCCAAATTAATGTTGAAGCTTCTGGGCTAAATCTTGGCAAAGCATTCAGGCATGACAATTCTACAACAGGTTTTCTACATTAAAAAAAAAAAAATAGTGTATCGATTTGTCTTTTTCTTGCTGAGACCCATAAATATTTGGAGAGGCAAGTTTATTTTACATCTACAATAGTGTCTACTATACAGACAGGATTGCAGGGTGGTCTTTGCTGGGCTTGGATAACCACCTGGCCCGAGAGACTTTCAGGGGAGAACAGTGCAGGCTGGGAGGTCATCTGAGGTCTTTATAGCGTGACAAGGGCAGAGGGAGGAACTAACTTCAAATAAGAAGGGGGCTATCTACCAAGTGTGCCATGCCCACCCTGAATCCCCACCCCACCCCCAAAAAAACACATGGCGTTGTTCTTCTCTGTGCACAAAGCCATTGTCCCAACAGATTTGTATTTATCCAAATCCCCTCTACAGCAAGACTGACGCCCAGAGGCCAGGGGAGTCAAAATCCAGTTTTAAGACTTCCTGCCAAACCAGCGATTATTAAAATAAAGCAAATGTAATTTCTGGGTGGTCTCTTCAGATTCAAGTCCTCACCTTTCCTTAAAGTCCTGGAGTGTAAGGTGATTTAAACAATCTCCCACCCCTCCTCCCTCTTACAGACAATACTTTTTTTAACTGCTTCAAGTCCAACAGGGTTCATTAAAACAGAAATTTTAAAAGAACCTTAAATCTTTAAACGGTTTCTAGGGTGGGCCCCGAGGACTGGAAGGGACTTGTTTACCACAGTCCCATCTCTCCTCTTTTCCTATTCCTTCCTTTGACTTGATATCTTTTGAAAATCTATCACCTCACGGACAGAGGGGAAAAGCAGAATCCAGTAGGAAATGAGAAAATGCCGTGTTCTTCACACGATCGTTTAAACATTCACCAGTCATATATTCCAATTCACTCAAGAATACCAAATTGGAGTTGAAAGGAACAAACCATGGCAGACAGGCACCAGGCAAAATGCAGGGTTAAAGAGTTAAAGTTTTCCCCTCCCCAAGAAACCCAAAGTAATTACTGCAATATTAAAAAGTCTCCAACATATATTTTTTTACCATTGCCATCAAGTCAACTCATGGAGGTCACCAGGCCTTTCTTCTGAGGCACATCTGGGTGGATCTGAACCTCCAACCTTTAGGTTAGCAGCCAAAAGCCTTTAACCATTTGCACCACCCAAAGACTCCAGTTATAAAGATAACCTGGTTAAACTAAGACTAACATGCACAGCACTAGAAAACGGGGCAACGCTGGCTTGGAGTCAGGCCTGGACTAGAGTCACTGCACTGCAACTTACTACTGCAGAAAGCCAAGGCCAAATTCCTCAGGTGACTCACACAGGTCTCCATCAAAAACGGAGCATCTGTGATATGGAAGCTATTCCTCTATAGGAACTTCTACTTTATAGAAGCACCATAATTTTTTTTTTTAATTGTACTTCAGGTGAAGGTTGACGGAACAAATAGTTTGTCATGAAACAGTAGTACACATATTGTTTTATGACATTGGTTAACAACCCCATGACATGTCAACCCTCTCCCTTCTCGACCTTTTTTTTTTTTGGTGAAAATACACATAGCCAAACATATACGATTTCAAAAATTTCTACATGCACAGTTCAGTGACTCCACTCTTCCAGTTGTGCTGCTGTTCTCACTTTAGATGAAGGTTTACAGGACAAAATAGTTTCTCATTAAACAGTTAGTACCCATGTTGCCCTATGACAATGGTTAACAACCTCACAACACATCAGCACTGTCCTTACTCAACCTTGGGTTCCCTATCACCAGCTTTCCTGTCCCCTTCTGCCTTCTAGCGAGAAGCACCATAATTTTTTAAAAGACAACAAAATGAAACAAGACTTTCCTTGCATCTCCCATACCTATCAGTGGCGGACACACACTTGGCGATAAATTAATGTGTCTTCCTACCTAAAGTTAAAATATTCACAGATTTTTATATTGCCTTTGTTTTTCAGAATTGAGTGGATACTAATAAATAAACTAACAGTGGTAGAAAGGCCTGATGATCTACTTCGAAATATTAGCCAGTAAAAACCCTATGGATCACAATGGTCCAACCGACCATGGGATGGTACAAGACCAGGCAATGTTTTGTTCCATTGTGCATGGGGTCACCATGAGTTGGGGGTGAGCTGATGGCAGCTAACATTAACAACAAGCGCCTACAGTATTCCATTTAAGCGCTCAGACACTGAACCAATGTAAGAGGTTGCCTATTTTATTGCAGGAGTTGTTACTAAAAAAGCAAAACAAAAAACATTGTTTTTATTATAAAGGTACATTTTAATTGTAAAAAAAAAAAAAAAAAAAGGAAGCTTGAGAAAACTATAATGAAGACCAGGAGTTAGCCAACTACAGACCATAGGCCAATTTCAGTCTGTCACCTGTTTTTCAAATAAAGTTTTATTAAAATACAGCTGCTCCCATTCATACTGGCTATGGTTGCTTTCAATAAACAGAGAAAAGATTGAAGTTGTCAAGGATTTCATTTTACTTGGCTCTACAATCAACACCCATGGAAGCAGCAGTCAGGAAATCAAAAGACGCATTGCATCGGGCAAATCTGCTGTAAAAGACCTCTTTAAAGTGTTGAAAAGCAAAGATGTCGCCTTGAAGACTAAGGTGTGCCTGACCCAAGCCATGGTATTTTCAATTGCATCATATGCATTCCAAAGCTTGACAATGCATAAGGAAGACCGAAGAAGAATTGACGGCTTTGAATTGTGGCGTTGGCAAAGAGTATTGAATATACCATGGACTGCCAAAAGAACGAACAAATCTGTCTTGGAAGAAGTACAACCAGAATGCTCCTTAGAAGGAAGGATGGCGAGACTACGTCTCACATACTTTGGACATGTTGTCAGGAGGGATCAGTCCCTGGAGAAAGACATCATGCTTGGTAAAGTACAGGGTCAGTGAAAAAGAGGAAGACCCTCAACAAGATGGATTGACACAGTGGCTGCAACTATGGGCTCAAGCATAACAGTGATTGTGAGCTTGGCGCAGGACCGGGCAGTGTTTCGTTCTGTGGCGTGTAGGGTCGCTGCGAGTCGGAACCGACTTGTTGGCACCTAACAACAACAACAACACGGCTGCTTTCAAACTACAAAGGCAGAGCTGAGTAGTCATGACAGAGACTCATATGGCCCGTAAAGCTTAAAATATTCCTCAGGCCCCTGATGAAGACTGTAAGAATCGCCTGTAACCACTCCCTCCAAAGGACCAGATGCCAGTGCTTTGGTGCATTATTTTTCAGTCTGTCAGTCCCACATTCCTTCAATCCATCCAACAAATTTTTATTACACACTTCTTAAAGTGCCATAAAGGACCCCTGGTGGTCAGTGGTTAAGCACTCGGCTGCTAACTGAAAGATTGACGGTGTGAACCCATCAGCCATCCAAGGGAGAACGGTGTGGCAGTCTGCTTCTGGAAAGATTACAGCCTTGGAAACCCCATGAGCAGTTTTACTGTGTCCTACAGAGTCTCTAGGAATTGGAATTGACTCGACAGCAATGGGTTTGGGTTTTTTTTGGTTTATAAGATGCCATATACCCTGTGTATTACATAATGGAGCAGAGGTGAGAAAAAACTCTGCACAGCGTTTGGTGGCTCCATCATTCGGTATTTTGTGTGATGTTTTACTCAGAAGACATTCTGCTGAGTTAAAAAATAAACAGCACAGTGCATCTTCTGTGCTGGGTGAGGCTGGCTGGCTAGCGCGCTTGATGGCTATAGTTGCACCTTCCCACCAGAGGTGGCTTATGTCCTACGACGTAACCAAAGGCACAACTCTTAGGAAGTGTCTGCTGAGCACCCATAGAGGAAGTAAATTTTAAAAGATGGAGATGAATTAACACAAATCCTTTCCTCCTGGAAAAAACAGCTGAAAGGCCCTGATTTGGTGGCACCACCCCCGGCTCCTCGCCTCCCACAAGGGGTCGCGTGTTGGACACTGTTCTGAGATCTCATCCAAATATCTTGTTCACTTGTCTCCTTTCCACTCATGATCTCATTTCACTGTCACAACAACCTTGTGAGGTGAGTACCTACCATTGGTCCCATTTCACAGAGGAGGAAACCGAGGCTTAGCAATCATTTTCCCAAGGTCCCACTCCTAGGGAGGGGTGGAGCTATCTGGCTTTGAGCCTGGGTTCTGGAACACGTCATTGCTGCCTTACTGTGCGTGAGGAAGCCTTGGACTGTGGCTCTCACTTTACCTGCCCCTGATGAGAGCCAGTGCACACTCACTGTGTTGAAAGCATCAGCTTCAGATCAGCAGACCAGCTTCAATCCTGGCTTCTCACCTACAAACTCAGTGGCCCTAGTGTGAATGCCATGAGTTGGCTAAGTCCAAATTCGCTCTATCTATAATATGGGAGGAATGATGCATACATCCCAAGATTCTTGTGAGGTTCTTGCAAATGAGAAATTTGTTCTCGCTTTAAGTTAGCATAGTGGCTGGTCGATGGGAAGCTCTCATTAAATGATAGCCATCAAAGACACCAACATCACAACGAATTATCGTGTTGGCGAAAAATGTTGACTATACCACGGACTGCCAAAAGAACAAACACATCTGTCTTGGAAGAAGTCAGCCAGAATGCTCCTTAGAAGCAAGTATGGCGAGACTTTGTCTCACGTACTTTGGACATGTTATCAGGAGGGACCAGTCCCTGGAGAAGGACATCATGCTTGGTAAAGTAGA